TGTTTGCATGCTTAAAAGAAAAAAAAAATGGGATGGGTTCTTTCAATTTGGTATCAGAGCATTTACGGTTCTAGGACGAGATTTAATTGGTAGAAAAATTGTGATGTGATGTGTGAATTTCATTGATGAGGAATGATGATGTGGATTGCATGCTGATTGATTGTGTGTTTAATCAATTGGGTGAGCATGGAGACCTAGATCATCCTCTCGAGCCTTAAATGAGATTCCACGGTAAGTTGTGTGGTTTGGTGATTTGTTGGGTGTTCTTAACCTTCTGTTGTTTAAAGAGATGGTTAGAGGTGGAGCTATCGGTCGTGGTCGTGGTCGTGGTCGTGGGCGTGGTCGCGGTAGGGGGCGTGGTGTTGCCTCGGGTAGCGACACGAGTGTGGGCCGAAGTGCTACGGCCGATTTTGTTAGTGAGTCCCAGTCGCATCAGGACGGGCCCGTGGGTGGTGAGAGTGTGAGTGCCGTGGGAGCCGGTTCGTCCGGGAACGGTACTAGTGTTGTTGGGAACCCGGTCGGGGGTGTTCCAACAGGTGAAGCCCAGGGTCAGAATGATCGGCTTGCGGATTTACTGACGCAGCTCTTGGAGCGGTTACCGGGTGCGGTACCGCCGGTGCAGGCTCCTCTTGGGCCTGGTGTGCATGCTCCTCTTGGGCCTGGTGTGCAGGCTCCTCTTGGGCCTGGTGTGCAGGCTCCTCATGGGCCTGGTGTGCAGGCTCCTCTTGGGCCTGGTGTGCAGCCTGTTGTTGGGGTTGTACCGCCTGGGGAGGTAGGTGGGGTGGTCGAGCAGCCGTACTACCTGCGGATGTTGGAGCAGCTGCAGCGGTTCAGGATGTCCTTGTTCTTCGGAGGTTCCGACCCGGCTGTAGCGGATGAGTGGCGGGTGCGATTGAAGCGGTATTTCCAGTCGATGAGGTGCCCGGAGGCGTATCGGGTGGACCTATCAGCCCACTACTTGGCGGGTGATGCACATTTGTGGTGGCGGAGTGTGCTGGCTAAGAGGGGGCAGGGATTGGCGGTGTGGGGAGATTTCTTGGCAGAGTTTAATGCCAAGTATTTTCCGGCGGAGGCATTGGACCGGATGGAGTCGCAGTTCCTGGCGTTGACTCAGGGCGAGCGGTCGGTGCGGGAGTACGACTCGGAGTTCAGCCGACTCTTGGTGTACTCGGGGCGTGCGGGAGATCCTGAGCAGATGCAGGTGCGTCGGTTCATGAAGGGTCTCAGCCCTGACATGAGGGTGCGGTGCAAGGTGCGGGCCTATGCATCGCGTGTGGAGCTGGTTGAGGTGGCGGCGGGGATCGACGACGAGTTGAGGAGTCACGGGGTGATTCCTAGTCCGTCGGCGCAGCCGAAGAAGACCCAGCCACAGTCAGTTCCGAGCAAGGGTGGCAAACCTGCTCAGGGACAGAAGAGGAAGTGGGATGACACTTCCAGGGTGAGCCAGGGTGATCGGAGGTGCTTCAGGTGTGGGAGTACGGATCACAGGGTGGCAAGCTGCCCGAAGAAGGGCGAGCCGTGGGTGGATACCCGTGTCTGTTACCACTGCAGAGAGACGGGGCACATCAAGACGAGGTGTCCTAAGTTGCAGCAGATGGCGGTAGCAGCGGTGCAGCCGGCGATGCAGCCAGTGGTGCAGCAATGGGTGCAGCCAGGATTGCAGCTGGCAGGGCAGTCGTTGGCTCAGCTGGGAGCACCGCCGGTGGCACAGATCGAGGGATCGAGGGGGTATACGACCGTGGAGACAGGAGAGCCAAGCACTGGACGGCCGATCACAGGTTTAATTCTAAGACTCAATCTGTTTCCTTCCGTTGTTTTAGAATTTGTGTTGTTTTCCTGTGATTTTTGGGGTGGCCAGTCTTAGTGAAAAGGGTTTGTGTAGGGACCCTGTTGGTGGGCGGGTTCTTGTCCCACGTGATGTTTGATTCTGGAGCTACGAATAGCTTCATTACCCCA